ATTAATGTTTTGAAACTCCTAACTCTTAAACTTATATTATTTAATTTGTTAGTTAACTAAAATATTTTTGCTACATAAAGATAACATTTTTATGTTTGGTTACTCATATTTGTTTATGTAATTAGAAAATAAGGTGTACATAGAATGACTACTTCAATTTTACAAAAGAATCGATACAACTAGAGATGTATGTTGTCTTTAACCGGTGGTAGGAGATCCACATACCATTTTTAATTATTTATATTAATGTTTAGTAATATCTATTTTATATTCCTATTCACCTTAATTTTTTAGGTACAAATTAACGAAGAGGATTCTCAGCGCACCAACATAAAGTCAAATGTACGCCTTGCAAAATATGTAATTAAAATTAAATATCATATTTACTAATCGACTTATTTTATAACTCTTAATGACATTTATGTATAATGATATATTTTGTATTACTTCATTCTTAATTTCAATGTTTAATATTTGAAAGTTCATATATGAAACTTTGGATGTTTTGGTGTAATATAAATAGTGTAATACAAAGTTTATTAGTTCAATATTGTTTACTAATAACTCATTCAAAACAACTTATTTCTTATTTTATCCAAAAAATATTATCGGATATAAGAAAAGTAGATTATATTAATGTTATACAAAAACTTATAATATATATTGGATAGTATAAAAATAAAATCAAAGTTTATAAGGTATGGACTATATTCGATAGTATCAAAATATAAGTTGATGAATTTTTATATTATATGATAATTCGGTTAATGCCCAAAATATGACTAAAAAAGTAAATTTCAACATATTTCTATTTTTTTTTCTATAATTATTTAACCACTTAAATGCATTCTTGCGCAACGCGCGAAGTTACGCCTAGTTCAATATAATTGCATGATTTATGAATAGAAAGTAAAATTGTAAGGGTTATTTCTGTAAGTTAAACTGGAAAGATGTCCGGTGAAGGCAGGCGCACCATAGTGGAGGAACACAATAGTGAAACCCAATTCAACAGCTTGTACAATGTGTATCATAAGTTATACTATTAGCTACAGTGATTTACACACAAAAGAGGAAGTTACATTTTGTATATATTTATAATTAATAAATTGAGAAAAAAACAATTTAGACCCGTTGTCTTTTCGGGTATTTCTAAGAAACACGATATATTTTTGGAAGAAGGAAGCATCAATTTTCCCACCACCAAAATCGCCATTAAATCAATCACCAGTCACCACATTTCTCCATCTTTGTGTGTTCATAAATTCGAATTAGTAACCAATCGTTTCATGTCAAAGCAATCCACAGCTTCAAATTCAAGTATAGATCAAAACGATGTCACCTGTTTGGAGTTCCCAAAGCGTAGTGTTAGCAACAGCCATGGCAGTCTCTGGCACCATGATCTTGCTCTCGTTACTCAGGAGCACCGCCACTTCCTCTGACGAAAACGGAGATTCAAATTCTGCGGAGGCACCACCGCCGACACCACCACCACGGCGACGGTCCTGTTTGTCCAGCGTGAAGAAGGATGGAAGTATGAAAAAGAAGGTGCGATTTCTGGAGAACGTAGAGGATACAGATCGGAAAGCATGGAGGGAGATCGAGTATGCTTCGAATTGTAAAATCGAAACTATGAACCTCAATGGCGCGAGAACTCTACTCGTTGAGGCTTCACGTTGATTTTCTTTAATGTTTCCATTTTTTGATTTTGTTATGAAATATACACATCTTGTTTACCTGACCTAATTTTGATTACTGAAGTTGCAATAATCAATATACATCTTCATAGTTGGATTATGATTGGAATATAAGCTAGCTTGTGACTCGATTTGTTGAAAAGCTTGCAAGTTTATCTTCGTAGTTGGAAGTTTAGTAGAGAAAGAGCTTCAATTTCACAACGGATTAATTTTTTCAGTCCATTTAAATTAGGTCATTAACTGGCATAATTTAGCTATTTCGTTCAATTCGCATTTCTTCATGATTTTTTTTTTTTTTTTTTTCAAGAAGACCTATATGTTCAAACACGTCGATCAAGAAGAAAACAACAAAAAGAGTCAAATTAAAATCCTAAAATCATATCCTCTTTGTAAGACGTTAAAATAAGAATTCATATTCGTATTTGAGAGTATATTGACGTAAGCAAAATATTATGATAGTAAAGTCTAGTTATGTGAATATAAATGTTTGGAAAATTTATGTCAAAAAATTAACAAGTAAAGTTGTCAAATGGTAAAATATGAATATAGTTGAACATGTGTTTGATAAATCCTCATTTATTCCAATTGCATAAAAGTCTATAGATGGAAGGGGAAGGAGTACTCATGTGGTTTGTTTTTCTTGGTATAAAGAAATATAATTACAAAGGAATATATTAGACAACACTAATAACATCATGATTTATATTTTGTTATCATGGTTGAGTTAAATCAATAAATTATTCATATAACTTATTTTATGTATAATAGAATATTAAATTGACCAATAAAATAAAAAATATTTTTATAATAAATAAGCTTTAATTAAATAAAAATACGTGACAAAGAAACTACAAATAAACATATATCAAGTCGTTTGGATTATATATTATATGTCTTGTAAATAATTCAAAAAATATATTATTTACCTTCAAAAATTGTTTAGAAAGTAGAAATCATACAATGAAATTTTAAAATAGAATTACAATCGAAAAATATTTTAGAAGAATACCAAAATATAATTTATTTGGAGTTTTGAAGTTTTACTGTCACATATAAAAAAAAAAAAAGCTAATTATTATAACTAGTCGTTTACCCGTGCAAAGGAGTTGGCGGTAAAGAGTTTGTTTCGGAAGATAGTTTAATGTGGTGATTAGTTTCCTTTAGACGCGAGCTATTCATTGCGGCCTTTTAGTTGACCATTTTGTGTCGGGTAGTTCATTTCAACGGATAGTTTCTAGCTAGGTGCATAGCTATACAATACGGCGGAAGTTGAATATACATTTGGAATGTCATTGAATAGTTCATACTTGATTTTACAATATATAAATTACAACAATCTGCAATCATGTAGTTTTGTACATTTAGAACATGTCCAATATATAAACTATAACAATCTGCAATCATGTTGCTTCATCTGAAAGCCCAACATTAAACATCAAATGAGTATATAAGATACATATTTGAACAAATTGTAAAATAATAAGTTGTTGATTGTACCTTGTTAATCACATAAAACTTCTTTGTACACAACGTTTGATGTGTAGATTCCATCTTATCAAACGTTTTTTTCGGCTTTACTAATACCTTGGTATTGACACGTGATATTCCTCTAGACAACGCCACATAAAGTTGGCCATGTGAGAATATCGATTCTGGTAGATAAACACCTACGTTTGGAATTGTTTGTCCCTGAGTTTTATTGATTGTCATAGAGAAACTAAGCTGAATTCCAAATCCTATTGAACCAAAATAGAAAAATGAGTTGCGGAACATGTTCTTATACCTCCTAGAACTTCAAATGATATAAAGGAACAAGATGGAGAGAATATGCCAATCCCTACACCACGAAAATCCTTAAAAAAATGCAACTTTTCTTCACTTGAATCACACTTGTTTAATAGGAAATGAAACCTCGCAAGGAAACACTCCAAATAGATGATGTTGGCTGCAAATAGGGTTACAAAATCGGATTCTAGGGTTAGCCTCACTTAAATATCCCATAACTTCCATAATTTGCCCTCAAAGTATTAAAAAATGATTCCTAGACCCATATACATGATGAAGGTTCATTTTATTACACCTTGGACCTCCAAAGATAACTTTAAACAAATGAAAATAATAATTTAAGAATAAAACTTAACGGAACACTAACATCGATGACAGATAGAAATTTGGGTCGTTAAACCTACTCAATAGAAACGTGGTGCTTTGTGGTGGGCTGATAGTTAGCCATGGATAGAAACAACTGATTACCTTTTTGATTTGTTACTTTTGAGTATGTTTTAAACAATGTGTATACTTGGTGTAATATAAACAAGTATGTTCAACCGAACATGACATTTCATTAAATTTAAAAGTTACAACTTAGTATAAACATGACTACGGGTGTCTTAGATTAGGGATGGCAAAAAAACCCGAAACCCGATCATTTCGGGTCGTTATCGGGTTTTTTATCGGGTTCGGGGCAGGGAGTGGGTTATCCTCGCCCCGACCCGCCCCGTGTGACAACCGTCAAATTCTGGTCTAGTCAAGGTCAAATAAAGTCAACAAGTCAAACCGGTCAACCCTACTAACACTTGTATACTAGGGTTCACCTCATGTTATTACTGTACAACTCACTATTTTAATAAGAAATCATCACTTGAAAAGTTGTATTTTTAGATTTCTTGAACCCTAATCGGGGTAAGTAAGGCGGCAAAGCGATAAAATACTATTACATACCCTTCGGAGGTGTGTAAGACTCTTAAACATGGCTTAACGGGGTTTGCGGACCTTGTGTTGCGAAGCCAAACACTCAAAAGGGTCACAAAAGAAGTCTCTCCAAACCTCTTTCACTCTAACTCTCCCAAATCTCTCCAAGTATGTGGGATCTCTCCCAAATATCTCTCTGAATGAGAAATCTCTCCAAGTATGTGAAATCTCTCCCAAATATCTCTTTGAATGAGAAATCTCTCCAAGTATGTGAAATCTCTCCCAAATCTCTCTCGAAATCTCTCTCAACTTTTTATAATCACTTGGGGCATCCCGACCCTCGAATTTGGCGAAAACAGCCCAAAAACGGAAGTCTACGCGAAAAACGGACTTAAGGAGCCGAAACTCCTCTTAGAAACCGAAACCCTCTCAAGGAACCGAAACCCTCTCAGGAACCGAAACCTCTTAGAGCCGAACCTCCTGAACCGAAACCCTCACAACCAAAATAGACCGAGCGCTCGGTCTATTTCGGTCCTCTAACAATTTCGAACCGAGACTGACTTTCGGCTCTACCCTTCTCACCTTCAGTCCGAGGAGCTGGAGTTTCTGTCCGAGGAGCGAGCCTGCGCAAGCCAAGACCGAGCCTCGCCTTCTGTTCTTCTCCTCGCGCTCTCGGTTCCTCTTCCACTCTCGGTTCTAAGCTCTTAGGAGCCGAACCTCGCACCCTTCGGCCAGAACTTCGGATTTTGACAATATTCACCCGGTTTTCAATATCTTTAGCGTTTTGAGCCCGTTTTTTTCGTGATTTTAACGCGGTATTTTCTCCAAAAATCATATTTTAACATATAAGACCCTAAATATTCATAATTTAAACATATTTTTTTTATGGAAATCTTTATTTAAGAATAAAATCTAGTGGGTGAATATTTGTGGTGGAGTGTTGACTTTACCTTAGTGTGTAACATAAGCAACCCCCCATGCCCACTCCATGACCAACCCACACCCCTCCCCACCATACCTTGTCACTTCCTTGTACTTTTCCCCTCTCTCACAAGTTATTCCCACGTTCTTAGAGCTGGACACTCATCCTCTCTCCTCATTCTCACTCACTTGCTCTCATTTCACCAAGGATCAAACTCAACTTTTCTCTCTAACTTTCTCCCTTAATTTCGGGATGCCAAGGCTGATCATCACGCTTTCTTACACTCTTGGTAAGTATAATTCATCCTCCTTGTGATAATTACACTTCATTCTACTCCAATCATAGATTGCTTACACAAATTACATCCCTTTGGTGTTAGACTCTCGAAAATCTTCTAAGCATCTTCAAGTGTTTTTGAGTTGAACACTTCTCATCTCCAACACTCATCTACTGAAACCATTCAAGGTGAGTTCATACCCCTACATTTTCATGTTTTCTTAAGTTTTAAGGGGGGGGGGGGGGGAATACAAGTTAAATCATCAAGAACACAACTAAACTTTTCCAACAGCTTTCATCAGAAAAGTTTGACATCAATCACGGACTGTTTTGGATAACCTAAACATTTTAGTTTTCAAAACTGTACAAGGTGCAAGTAGTTCAAGTCCTTACCTTTAAAATGGTTACTTGCACATCTCCATACGATTTTTCTACAATTTATGGTGATTTTTACAAAACTGTCTATCATTT